GAAATGAGTTCTACCCCTTAGGTGGTATGTGGCCCGTGTCCTGGGGAGACTTCACAGAATTATTGCTTCAGTTCACTCAAAAATCTAAAAATACTTGTATCTATTGGAGCCCTAGTTGTGGACCAGGACCTCCTTGTGCTAGGCTCTGTACAAACAGAAGAGAAACTGAAATGTCTCAAGCAACAGGCCTTCCATTCTTTACCATCGGAGACTATTCTAATACATCTCACTGTCAGGAGCTGACTCTTAATATCTGAAATAAACTACTTAATAGCACTTAAGCACATCTACTGTGTTTCTGTCTTTTTTTTTTTTTTCCATCCCCTTAGCCCTAAACTTAGGAATTTTGTTAAAGACTGATATTTGAATTTGTCTGGTTTCTAACTGCTTAATGTTAATCTTTTAGATGCCTCAAATCTTTTGTCTGAGTGAAAATACCCCACTCTGGACTAGCACTACAAAAATGGATATTGCACACACAAGAGTGGTTCTTATGAAGAGCTCAGAATGCTTTAGTTCCCAGTTGACTGTCTATGTTTCTAAAAGTATAGTGCTACAGTATGTAAATGTGTTGTGATTCATAGGCAGGCCAGGTTCTTTGAGTGATATCTCTTATTAGACCAACTGAATAGCTGGAGAAAAAAAGTTTTAGGCAACCTTTTGGGTACAGGCACCCTTCTTAGGCATAGGGAGTCTCTGCTGTTCTGAGGCTCCAAGGAATGAAAGAAGCTAAAAGTGTAAAAGGTTGTCAGTGAAAATGTAAATAGAAATTGTGATTCACAGTGCTTCTTGCTGAAGCAATGCCAGGCATCCTGCAATCAGTACTTGAGGTCAAAATTATAATGCTCAGGCTTGATTTATCCTTCAAAGAAGACATGTAACATTTTATCAAATGCAAATTATTATATGTAATATTTTAAAACTCAGGCTTTTATTTTAGTAATTGCCATGCTCCCCTTTTTTCTCTTACTGAATATTTTATAGGGTAAATCTTATTTGAAGTCTCATTTAAATAGCATCAGATATTCTTATTGTAAATTCTGTCATTTAATTGGCAGCTCTTGGGTGGCAGTTTAAAAATTCACTCTCCTTTTTAGGACACAGTAAATATGTTCAAAGTGGGAAAGAAAAAAGAATAACAAGAAGACTTTTGTGTCCGGGTTGCAGCTTTTATTGGTTTTGAAGCCTAGTACAGGATACTGTTAGACTCTCCAGGTCCTGTGCGAGATATTGGCAAAACTGGACTGCTCAGGAATTTCAGTGTGCCAAACAGATCTTGCCAAATATTGCAAGGTCAAATCTTCTTGGCCTTCTGTATATAAGGTGGCAATTTAAGCAGCCAAACAGAGAATGGAAAGAATGAGAGAGAGAGAGATATAGATATATATGCCAACGGGGAAGATAGCAGGATCTTCAGTAGTTCTTCAGGTCCTAATCAGTAGATGGTGATATTGTCTGGTTAGAACAGGGGTGGGTGAAATACAGCTTGTGGGCTGGATCCGGCCCACCTATTGATTGTATCTGAACTGTGGCTGCCCCTGTAGTGCTCTACATGGGACCAAGCCCTGCTCAGGGCAGCCTGTGCCATGCTCTGGAGGAGCTGAGGTGTGTAGCTTCCCAGGGCCCCCGTCCTGGCCAGTTGCACAGCTTCCTGCAGGGCTGATCCCACCGCTGCTGCAGTCGCCTGTGTACTGCTTTGCTCTCCCCTCTCGCAGTGGATCCTCCTGCCCCTGCTACACTGGTCTGGACAGCAGGTAGCGTGGGAAGGTGGCAGTGGGTGAGGGAGGGGAGCTGCAGCTGAGTTTCTCCTGCCCCAGCACATGGAAGTTCAGTTGCAGCTCCTGGCTGCCTTCTACCCACTCTGCCCAGCACAAGCCATCTGTGGGTAGCCAAGTGGGTGGAAGGCATCACACTGACCAGGGCAGGGGCAGCTGTGGGCTAAATGGGGAGGGGGGGGGCGCACTGTACCTGTAGTGCAAGCTTCGCCCTGCCACCCCCTCCTGCCACCCCCAGCTGGCTCCCAGGACCTAGTGCATAGGCAGTCCCCCCACACACATACCTCACACCCACACCCCCTGCCACACACACTATATAAGAGTGCATAATAGCTTAAAATAAAATCTTAATTGCCTGTACACACACTACTTAAAAAAACTTAAGTCAGGACAAAAATGTTTTTTTGAAATAAATTTAAAATATAGTAGACTTTTTTTAATTTAATACATCATTTGTTTTCTATCTATAACTTGTTAAAATGCTACCTTCTGAAAGAATTTCTGTGCAGGCCCCAACAACTCACCAAAACTCATTAAATAGCCCACCAGCCAAAATAATTGCCCACCTCTGGGTAGAATGTTTGGAAGATTCAGGAAACTAGTCTTTCTCAGGTGCTAAAAGGAACAGCATTCTTTTAGCTCAGGTAAGTTCAGTTTATGCTACTTTGCCTCCATTCTGTGTGGCTTTGTTTTTTTTCTCTCCCCAACTGCTGTTTTACTACTATGTTTAGAGACCAACTGGTTGCTATTCCTGTCACTTCACCCATTCCAGACATTTTAGACTTTTGACATACAGTAGGTACATGTGCACTTTACTGCAGAGTTGACTAATTAGTTCCACAGTAAAGCATCACTATCTACATGTGTGCCAGTATTAGGGCACAGTAAATTAACTCCACTGTAATTAACAGTCCCCAGCAGTACTGTTTTACAGCAAAGCACTTGCCTGCGCTGAAACGTGTAAATTGTGAGAGGTTGGCTGGGGCACAAGGGTGCTAAAGTGTGGGGAGCTGCTTGCCACCTACCCCTGCACATTGGTACCGCTATACCCCAGCCAGCCCATTCGCTACCACCACCTGGAGCTGACCCCCTGGACTCCCAAAGTGATGTGTTCCTTGGGAGCAGTTGACTCCAGCGCAAACTGTACCATAATTTTTTATCGCATTAATTGCACATGTAGATGCACCCACTGAGGTTCAACACAGGCTGGAGACTGGACTATTTTCACTTAAAAGTGGGTGGTTGTGAACTGGTCTCGATAGCAAGAATGCAAACTACTCCTACAGGTTTTGGTGAACTTTTTGGAACAGGTAGTGTGTTTGTGGGTACTAGTGCAATTGTGGGTGATCTGGAGCAAGAGTTGCACCAGCTCGCTATGGAACATACAAGACTGTCATACTCTTCTGTACAGAGCTTTAATTTTGTTCTGAATTGAATACATGTTCTTTACCATTTATTATATCTTTTTCTACTTCCTTTTGTAAGAAAAAAAGATATAGTAATTGTAAATGACACATGTTCAGTTCAGAACAACATTAAAGCTGTTAAGAACAGTTTTCTGTGCACAGATTTCCAATAGAAGCACAGGACCTGAACTAGAGCTGCTTATTTTTCATGACCTGCCAGAACCAAAACTAAACCTTATCCCAGAATAGGATATAGGAGATTGAAACAAATTAATGTTGTCTCCATGAGTTCATTCCTGAAACTGAACAAGAATAACTAATCATGTGGGAATGGCATGTGCCTTTCTTTCTAATCCTGCCACTGGAAGAGAGGGATGTGGCTCTCCCATCACCAATATTCTGAATAGCTTTCTGCTGAGGGTACTTTGTTCGTAAACTACAATACTTTACAAAGCCGAGCTATCGCTTAACCAACCATTAGGTGCTCTTCCTGGAGAAATTTTGAGGTTGTGGATTCAACAGTATATTTCATTCCCATCCTTGCTTTGGAGCTTTGAGGATTTATTTCCTGAGTGACTTCAACTAAAATCTAAGGCTCCTTGTTGGTGATCTGGAATGTTGACATCACTCTTTTTCTTCACATAGATACATTCTTGGAATGCCATCTAAAATCACAGAGCCAGAAGCTAGATACCAGTTAAAGGACTGTTTCAGGGTCAGCTATGTGCTCTTTGTCCCATAATACAATTTTGGTTCAGTGCTTATTACTGTTCTGTTTTGTTTTTTTAAACTAGAAATCAGAGGTAACTTCCCATATACTGCCTGTATAGTTCTTTGGCTTCTGACCTGGTTCACAGATGGGTGTTTTTATTAAGTTTACAAAGTTCAATTATACTTTGTATCTTTTCTTTCTAAAGATGTTAGCTGAGCCCTGTGCCTGACTGCATCCTCTAATGCTAAAAATATATCTGCAACTGTACATCCCAGTGGGGGTGATTGTAAGGGTAGTGAGATCCAGTTGTGAAGTTAACTGAAAATCCACCATAGCTTTTCTGCTACAATGGTCTATGGTGAAACAGCAGTGTTGGTGATTTAAAACTCCAAGATTAGCACCCTACTGAGATTAAAAGCAGTACCTCCCCAGTCTTTTGGGACCACTTGGATACCCCTTATAAATCCCATTTACTTGGGCTTTTAATAGAACATGAGATACTTGCAGACAAAGGAAAAATTCTCTTCCTTACACTTCCCCTCCACCCCCCTCCAGCCTAAAGACATTTGGAAAATCAGATATTTCACAAAAAGTTTAAAAAGGAGCCATTTTACAATCTTTTAATCTTAGTACTTCAATTTTATTTTGAAGAAAACATTCCACACCCCCCCCAATTAATTACTTTGTTTTAGGGCTGTCAATTAATCGTGGTTAACATGCATGATTAACACATTTAATTTGGTTTTGATTTAACTTCTTTAACACGCATTAATCACTGCTGGTGCTGGGGGGAAAAGCAGCCCCTCTCCCCTCACTGGGGCTGGGCCACATGTGGCCAGCATGCAGCCAGGCAGGGTCCTGCAAG